TCTGCCAAAGATTGTTAAACAATACTTAAAAGATTCCTTAGGTGCACCTTTGGTAAAAATGTTATTAGATTATGTTCATAACTTTTCAAGTTATCCTGTGAAATGATGGAGAGACAGACAAACATAAACAAACTCGACTAAAAACATAACCTCATTGGCGGAGGTAAAGATAAATAATGATCTTATTATATAGTTAATCCTGTTCAGAAATACTTTTTGTTATGTTTGTTAAATGAGGAAGTTATGTCCCCTAAAAAAGGCCGTTGCGCCTCGGGGGCTTCCTCACTGTTCTTTTCCTGGGAGCAAGTTATTTACTACTCTTAACTCAAACTGGGTAAAACCATATAAAAAAGGACTATAAAAACAGAAGTAAAACGTAACAGAGTTAATTCCAGATCAGGTCGTTACAGGACAGAGAAAATGCCTGGAGCTTGCACAGCTGTGGGGTCAAACATCACGTCCGCGAGCGTCCGGCAAAGATTGAGCCCCGAACAAGGCCATCTTCTCCTTCTTATAGCTCATGAGTCTATGTGTTGCACCAGGTGGATGCTTAGTTGTCCGTATCAGAAACGGACACGCCATCCATGCCCAAGGATTACAGATAGCTCTCCTCTATCAGTCCGGCTCCAAGATGTTCCTATATACTGTGTATTCTTAAAGACATGAAGGCTGTCCTGATTAGATGACCTCCGTACACACAGTGACATCCACAACGTGAAGGAAGGCCTTCTACTCTCTCTAATCCGGCTACCAAAGTAACAATGCACATGATGTATAAAGCATAAACCTAACATGTTGAGTAAAATTGGCCTACCATCCTGAGAATAGTCAATACCTTATGCATTCAGCAAAATAAAAAAAATAAAAAAATATTACGTGTGTGAGAGCTTCAAGCTTCTGAAAACTGACCAATCCCTGCCAATCAGTCCGAATGGAAAAAACAAATCACATGGAGCCATCTTCTCTGCATGCATGCTCATGAGGTTTGGGCTCTGCCGGTGTTGTGTAGTTATCCCCCACCTTAATTTGTATCCCCTTAAAGTCTACAACTTTAATATGTCGTTCCACTGCTTTAAATTATAGATAATATAAAGATAGTCATTTGTAAATGTAAATCCATTTATTGTCCCACAATGGGGAAATTCACTCTCTGCATTTCACCCATCCCGTTGGGGAGCAGGGGGCTGCCATTGTGTGGCGCCCTGCGAGCAGCGTGGGGTTAAGGGTAGGGCTGCAACAACGAATCGATAAAATCGATAAAAATCGACTTTTAAAAGCGTTGGCAACGAATTTAATCATCAATTAGTTGTGTCGCG